TTTTTTTGACCATCATTAGAAAATCTTGTTATATATCAGGAAGAAAATTGCATTTTCAAATTTATGCTGAATATATTAATAGATACCTTCAGCATCATTACTTAAAGCTCACACATTTTGCTTCCAAATCAGATATGTAAATGTGATGCTAATGAAAATTCTCTTACACATTTATAAACTTGTAGTTCATTAAAACAAAAATTCTCAAAGGGCTTTCCATTGCCACATGATGAAATCCAAACTTCAGCATTTCACACAAAGCCCTATGTGACTTCCATGAACTTCTGGTCCCTGTGGATCCATTCAGCCTTATCTTCCACCATCCATGGCCTTCCTTTGCTAATGTGCTAAAATTTGGTAATTTTAAATTTAATCCCAAGCCTTTTTGCTTTGCATTACAAAATATCAAACTACTTAAAATATCTTTCTTCATTAGCCCTNGCCTTTTTGCTTTGCATTACAAAATATCAAACTACTTAAAATATCTTTCTTCATTAGCCCTAACTGTACTGCCACATTTTAAGCTGAAATAATCAGAATTAGAGAACTTACGTGCTATACACACAGCTAATGGATGGTGAGGTCAGAATTTATTTATTCATTTATTTATTTATTTTTTTCCCTATTTTTTGTCTTTTTTTAACTGACTGGTAACGGGATCGCAACCCTCGGTGTTGCGCCCGCACCGCGCTCAGCCAGTGAGCGGGAACCGGTCTCCACATGGGATCCGAACCCTCGGCGGGAGTGCCGCCGCACCCCCAAGCGGTGCACTCTCCAGTGCGCCACCGGGCTGGCCCATAACCTTAAGTCTACCTGACTCCAAAGCCTGCTAAAAATTGCTCCCAGGTCAGCTGCCTCTAAACCTTCCTGCCCTGGGAACTGAGCTAAAATGGAGGTTCTCCAGCTCTAAGTAACCAGCCAGAGTTTGAAATTATTAAAACCAATTTTAAACCAGAAGTATTAGGACAGCAGTGTCAGTGATTTGAAGCCTGGAGAGTCTCAAGTCATGAGAGTAGTGCCTTTATATGGAGTAACAGGCTTCAGAAGACAAAAGCCCACTCACTACAGGCACCAGAGGAGTTTCAAGTAAATAAAGAAGATAATATAGCCCTATGTAAAAAAAACATAGCTCACACCTGGAACGTAATAAGTGGTATCTAATGTTATTTCCCATGAGGATGAATTAATCTTCTATTCCTGTTCTCAGTATAAAAATACTTTTGCCACATAATCCTCAGAGTGAGAAAGTGATAATAAAGTGATGAAAAACGAGTTAAAAAATAAAATTAAGGGCCGGCCCGGTGGCGCACTGCTATAGTGCGCCGCTTGGGAAGCGCGGCGGCG